TCATAATTCATTTCGAATTAACCCCCCTAACTGCTACTCTACTTTCGACTGAGGGGACTATTTTAAAAATAAGTTCAGAATTGGCAGGCCTACTGGAAATCTCAATTATTTGAGGGAGTAATTTCAAAATAACTTAAGAGGTGGGGACCTTATAGTACTTTCAACTATTTGAGGGACAGATTTTAAAACGCAAAAGATTTAAGGGAGTAGCGTCAAAAATCCTTATTAATAACATTTGGGGCTTCATTAAAATATCAACATTTGGGGGACCTATTTTAATGTAATCATGTCCAACATCCTCAAACGATATGAATAAGGCTAAATGACCAAATTAGTTTTCTTTTTACGCCCATTTACCAGTTTGGTAGTTTTCGTCGCTCCGATCACTTTTTTTAGTATTAAAAGTCTACCAAATTTATATATCATTAGGTACTAATTTTTTCCACCAGTGAGAATCTCACAGATTTTTTTGGGGAATTTGGTACCAAAAGCAGCACCCCATTCCCTCCCTCGCCACTTAGGAATTAGGGAATTTTTACAAACTTAGGGTTAGTTTAACTCCCTCCTCTCTCTTTTTGATCCGTGCCACGCCATTTGAACTATGTCATGTTATTTATAAAACTACTCATGTTAGCAATCGAATATCCCTCAAATTTAGTCATATAAGGTTATGTCTAATTGCACATTTAGTAGACTAATTCAAAAAAGTTGCCAAAGCAATAAAAAAACATTGTACTCGCATGTTACAAAAGTTACCAATTTGGTAATTTAGCTCTATATGGATAATGTATTAATGTTCAGTTTTGGGATTATAACTACCTCATTGGTTGTAACAAGAGCAGTAGCTTCATCATCATTTGATACCTTTGAAATTAGCATCATCAACATGAGAAATGATTAAAATTTTAAGTTTCCAAACCTATGGAATTCATTCATAAATAACGTACCTTATCAATACACTTGCTAATTGATTGGATTGAAGCTGGTTTAAACCTGTCACGATAAGAAAGCAAATCAAGTTGCCATTATCATGATCACGGTTCAATTTTCATGAAAAGTTGGAGGGAAAAAACTTCACCACTGCAAAATGTTCAAATATGATTTATAGTTCGAATTTTTACCAATGGCAAAGATTTCCAACGAAGGTGAATAAGTAAATTCCTCCTCCTAACTTCTTCAGTTCACAAAATTCCTCTTGAAGAGCCATCGTTGAGATGATGAACCCCTAGATTCTTGTAGATTCTACTTACATAGGTGCCAAGATATATAAAGATTGTATAGTTTGTTTTATTTCATTCTAGTTTCACTCTTATTGAGGCCGAATTGTCATGTAGCCAGCAATAGGCAGGACTGAAACCAAGAAGAGAAAACAAATAAAACTTAGAAATTATCTTGTTTCCTTTTTAAATGATCTGCCTGTGATTTACAAGGCGTTTTCCTTAACCAAAAGCGTCACGCACTTTGCATTTAATCATTCATTGTTCTTGACGTTTATCTCTAAATGAATAAAGAATTTCTTCACATTCTTTTAAATTTTGTTTAAACTTTTCCCTTGGTTCATGAGTTCCAAACGTTGATAAATTTCCAGAGGTTGACTTAGAGCATGTTTGGCTCCTACTTATATTTTGAATCCTTATATATAAGTTACTTACTACTTATTCTCAGAACTTATAAGTATCTAAGAAAATAGGGAAGTTGTTTGGTAAACCCCTTTATTTATAAAGACATACCAGTAGTTATTTGTTTGGCAAATCATTAACTTATAACGTGGTGTTAAATGTCAAATGGCCAGAAAGGACATATTTTAGTAACTGCATATTGTGACTAATTTAATTCATGTCATATTAATCCAATAATTAATATTAATAATTTATTAATTAATTATTTAAAAAAGTAATTAATTTAAAGTTAATTATTTCAAATTAATTATGATTATTAATTATAATATTGAGATTAATTAATTAAATTTTTTGTAATGAAATAATATTGTTAATAAAATAAATAAATAAATCAATTAATTAAAAGTTAGTTATCTCATAATAAGAAATATATTTGATTAAAATATTTTTATATAGTACATTATTTGTAATTATTAATCACTAATATTGAGATTTATTAATTCAATTTATATCAAAAATATTACTATCATAAAATGATTAGTTAATATCAATAAATTAATTATCTCATAGTAAGAATTATACTTTATTAAAACAATTTTATATATTACATTATTTGTAATTATTAATTAGTAATATTGAGGTTAACCAATTTCATGTTACTAAAATGTTATTAATAATAAATTAATTAACTAATTAATTATTAATAACTTAATTAAGTAAATATTTAATAGTATTAATTATTTATAGTTAAAAAACTTAATTAAATAAAGGGAGTAGGACTGTATTTTTGTCTTTTGGCCATAATAAGGAAAGTTCCTTATAAGTAGAGAAAAGATAAGTTGGGAAACCACAACTTATTTTTTTCTATTTATAGGCGACAAATAGGTAAAATAAGTAGCTCTTACCAAATATCACGTTGGCACCTTTTAAGTAAAAAGTTAGTTAAGGAGAAATAAGTAAGGTGCTAAACAGACTCTTAACTCAGTACTTTTATTTACATTAATTTAGCTAGTAATGCATCATCCTTTGTTAATTTTTTGGCTGTGAGAAGATTTTCGGCTGCTCTTGATCTTATTATCTGATTGATTCGGCTACTATGAAGAGAATTATAGTTATCTTCTATTATTCTAGAGTTAATTAGTTGCTATAGACTAATGCATTAATGTATTATAGGGGCCAATCATTTGTTACCCATAAAATCTTTTATTAGCACATTGACCCCGAATGTCGAACAAAGTTTTCTCTCTATCACACATAACTGTACTATAAAGAGTGTATGCTCAACATAGGATAAGAGTTTTTTTTATAAAAAACCAAGATATCGAGCGATCTCTTTACAACATATTGGCTGGTGGAGATACTTTTAGTTAGTGTCTCTTCGTTAAGGGTCAATTACTGATACACTGTTAGGAGAATTTCTGTGTAGGAGCTGGAGTTAGCAAAATAGAGGGTAGAAGACAGAAGAGATCTAGGATAAGAGGGAGAAAGAGAGAGAAAGTTGTTGAATATTGCTTGTTTATTTCCTGTCAACTGGTACACTTATAGGCTATTAGCCCTTGATTATTGCCTACCAAAAGTACTAATTAAAATATAAATCATATCTCCTTAAATTCCTCCCTGAATCCTGCCTAAGGCCTTGCTGTTCAGTTGTCCTCTTAATGGATGATTTCAAATCAAGCCTTAATTGTAATTTTCAAATTTAGCATCATCGGTTAACGATTGAATGCAATTGTATCTTTGTTGCGTCTTGTGTAAACCTTTAGGGGAAGGTTCAATTGTGTAACATTCCCACCCCCATGGGAAGACGACTTGTCAAGTCGGAGCTCATCCAAATTTACAAGGTCCTCTCAACTTGAATCTTCTAGCAGTAGGCCTGACCATTGGACAAGAGCTTGAGGAACGGTTTCCCCATTTTGAAGTATGGTACGCCTAGCTAGGATGGTAACTGGTTGGTGGACTGGATGTTGATCTTTAGTTAGAGCAGGCAGATCATGAACATGCGGTGTTGATTAGCCATGGTATGACTTTAAGAGAGAACAATGAAACAATGGATGAATGCGAGTAGTTGGTAGTAATGCCAGTCGATATGCAACTGATCCAATGCGTTTCTCTACTTTGAATGGCCCGTAATAGCGAAATCCAAGCTTGTGAACTGATTGTTTGCGTGCTGTTAATTGGCGATAGGGCTGAAGCTTTAACAACACTAATTGGTCTGGTTCGAAAAATATTGCAGTGCGGTTCTTGTCGGTGTAGAATTTCATGGCTGTTTGTGACTTGAGCAAGTTGTCTCTTAGTTGGGATAATATCACGTCACGGGAGCGGAGGTCTATGTCGACTTCTTCGAAGGCAGAGGTGCCACTGCAATAATTAAGCATTGATGGAGGTTTATGGCCAAATGTAACTTCAAATGGAGTCATTCCTGCCGAAGCTTGAAAGGTCGTTTTGTGGTGGTACTCTGCCCAACTTAGTAAATTGGACCATTTATTCGGTTGGTTGTGAACAAATGCTCGCAAGTATTGCTCAATGCACCGATTGACACGCTCGGTTTGTCCGTCGGATTCTGGGTGATATGCAAATGAGAAGTTGAGCTTTGTTCCTTGGAGCTTGAAAAGTTCTCGCCAAAAATGGCTCTGGAAAATTGGGTCACGATCAGAAATAATGGATTTAAGCATGCCGTGGATCTTGTCCACCGACTCCCAAAAAATGGATGCAACTCGGGGGGCGTTGTATCGTCGTGGTAAGGCGGGTAGATGCACTCCTTTAGAGAAGCGATCAACCACTACTAGGATAGTGGTATGGTCTCCGGATGGGGGTAAATGAGTGATAAAGTCCATCGATAGGTCAGCCCACAGGGAAGTTGGAGGAACAATTGGTTGATAATTCTTCTATAACTTGCTGTTTTAGATGGAGGAACAATTGGTTGACAATTGGATGGGGGTAAATGCTTTTTTAGATTTGTTGGTTGATAATTCTTCTATAATTTGCTGACAAAATGAATCATTAGCCACTTCTTGCATCAAGATTGTTAAGTCATAGCTAATAGGTCTGGAAATGGCTAGGAGGATTTGGTCAGATGTGGGGCTTATGTTGCCAGGTTCGAAAATAGATGGTGTGCCGTCTGTTTCATGAACAACGGTGGTGGAAGTTGTATTGTCAGTGAACTCAGGCACACGAGAGAGAGAGAGAGAGAGAGAGAGAGAGAGAGAGAGAGAGAGAGAGAGAGAGAGAGAGAGAGACTGCTACTGCATTCGAAGTTCCCGACTTGTACTCGATAGAGTAGCTATAGCCGACTAGTTTGGATAGGAATTGTTGTTGCTCTAGAGTTTGAATAACCTGTTTTAGCATATTTTACAAACTACGGTGGTCTGTTCTAATAATAAAGTGATTTCCCAGTAAATATTGGCGCCACTTCGCCACTGCCGATTAAACCACAAATAGCTCTCTAACATATGTGGACTTGCCTTGCATTGTTTTGGAGAGTTTTCGACTGTAAAATGTGATTGGGTGTGATTGCTGCATGAGGACCGCACCTATGCCTATACCAGAAGCATCTGTCTCCAATACAAACTGTAAGGAAAAATCTAGTAATGTAAGCACTGGTGCTGATGTCATGGCTGACTTGAGTGCTGTGAAAGCTTGGTGTGCCCGGTTTGACCAATTGAAACCATCTTTTGTGAGGAGATCCGTGAGGGGTGCTGCTATGGATGCATAATGGTGGATGAAACGGCGGTAATAGCCCGTGAGACCAAGGAAACCACGAACCTGACGCTGATTGGTAGGCATCGGCCAAGCAGTGATGACCTTGATTTTTGAGGGATCGGCTGCCACCCCTTGTGTGGAGACGATATGGCCCAGAAATTCAATGGAGGGGCTTCCAAATGTGTATTTGGATCATTTCACCGCCAAGTTGTGATCTTTTAGTGTCAAAAATATTTGTCAAAGGTGGCCAATGTGTTCCTCATGGCTGCTGCTATAAACCAAGATGTCATCAAAAAATATGACCACAAATTTTCGTAGGTATGGTTGGAATACCTCATTCATTAGAGCTTGGAAGGTCGATGGTGCGTTTGTAAGTCCGAATGGCATGACTAAAAATTCAAAGTGGCCGTGATGTGTGCGAAAGGCTGTCTTGTGTACATCTTTTTTGAACATTCGCACTTGATGGTAGCCCGAATGAAGGTCAAGCTTGGAGAAAATTGTTGCACCATAAAGCTCGTCAATTAGTTCATCCACCGTAGGAATGGGAAATCTGTCTTTAATGGTGGCTACATTCAAGGCACGATAGTCTACGCAAAAATGCCATGTGCCATCCTTCTTTTTCACCAATAGCATCGATGAACTAAAAGCTGAGCGACTTGGACCAATGACACCTATTTGGAGCAGCTCACTTACCTGCCTTTCTATTTCATTTTTCTAAAAAATGAGGATAACGGTATAATCGAACATTCACCGCTTCGGTGCCTGGATGTAAGGGAATGCAGTGGTCGATAGAGCGGGCTGGTGGTAGCCCGGTTGGTTCAGCAAATACGTCTTGAAATTCATCCAGAAGTGTTGCCAGAAATGGTGGTTGTTGCTCATCGCTCTTGGCTAAGGACACTGTGTCCTCACTGGTCGGTGTGGTCTGTAGGCACATGAAACATGAGCTTACACCCCCTGATGTGATCATTTTGTTAAATCCTACTGGAGATAGTGGACGAGCTGAGGTAGAGTCGTCGCCATGTAGTTGGATATGTTGTCCTTGTATGCTGAATTCCATTGTCAGGGTTGCATAGTTTGTCAAGATCGGACCCAATGTAGCCAACCATTGAACGCCTAAAACAACATTTGTGCCTTCAATGTCGAGTACGAATAAGTCCAGGTGGAAGGTGTGAGATTACAGAAACAACGACACCTCATTATAGATTTGATGACAGTGGAGGTAAGCACCGATGCTGACACATACCTTGAATGGTTGGGTGGGTGTTGTGGGTAATTCCAAAAAAGATGACATGCGGTTAGAAATGAAATTGCTTGTACTACCACTGTTGATAAGCACCTGAATCTTATGGCCATTTATGCTTCCTTGCATACTCATTGATTTGGCCGAGCGTTGGCCTAAAAAGGCATTAAGGCTAAGTTCTGGACTGGGCTCTTCCTCTAATTGCCGTGTCGAATCGACCGTTGGTGTCTCCAAGTTGTCTATGGAATTGTCTTCCATTCCTTCTAAGTAAAGGAGTGAAGTATGTCTTTATAATGGTGGCCTGGGGTGAAACAATCGTCACAGTTAAAACATAACCATTTTGCTCTTTGATCTTGCTGCTCTGCTGCTGTTAATCTACGGACGTGGATTTTAGTTGCTAGGTTAGGACTGGCCGGAGCTATAGGCTATGGTTGTGGGGTTGGTCGAGCAACCTAAGGTCTTGGTGCTGATCTGGTATCAGCGAACTGATCTTCGAAAACCCAAGCTAAAGCAAATGCATCATCAAGGTCATGAGGTCGTTGTGCTGTTACTGCGCGTTGAATTCTCGGCTGGAGTCCTGAAATGAATGAACTTTTTAAGAGATCAGGTGTAAGGCCATTCACTTTACTAGCCAACGCCTCGAACTTGTTTTGGTATTCTGCCACTGAAGCCGATTGTGAAAGCTTCATTAGTTGGCCAGCTGGGTCAGCATATTCTGATGGATCAAATCGCTTATGCAGACCTAAAACAAAAGTGTTCCAATCTGTAAGACGGCCCGCTTGAGCCATGCTTTGGAACCAACAAGACGCCAGTGTATCTAGGTGCATGGAGGCTATATCTAGGTGCATGGAGGCTAGGAGTAACCTGTCTTCCAAGGGAGTTGCGTAGTACATGAAGTACTATTGAATGCTAAAAATCTAATCAGCAGGGTCACCAGATGAAAACCGAGGGAATGTTAAACGAAGGTTGCGATTCGCATATATCTCCGGTTGAGCTTCTGTTGTGCACAATGGTTGTTGTGGCCCAGGGCCAAGAACACTCGATGAAGGTTGATGTGGTGGAATGGAGGAATTAGCTCGTAATTGCTCAATCATTGTAGCCAAGAAGCATTGTTCCCTTTCTTGCTCGCGCTGCTGGGATAGCTGGTCACGGTTTTTCATGGCCATGTTAAGTTGTACTGGTAATCTCTCAAAAATCTCATCGTCAGTGTTTTGTGAGCGAGTCTGTGGTGCCATGGTGGAGGTTGAGCAAGCAACGAAAGCACCAAATTGTTAGGAGAATTTCTGTGTAGGAGCTGGAGTTAGCAACATAGAGGGTAGAAGACAGAAGAGATCTAGGATAAGAGGGAGAAAGAGGGAGAAAGAGAGAGAAAGTTGTTAAATATTGCTTGTTTATTTCCTCTGTCAACTGGTACACTTATAGGCTATTAGCCCTTGATTATTGCCTAACAAAATAACTAATTAAAATATAAATCAAATCTCCTTAAATCCCTCCCTGAATCCTGCCTAAGGCCTTGCTGTTCAGCTGTCCTCTTAATGGATGATTTCAAATCAAGCCTTAATTGTAATTTTCCAATTTAGCATCATCAGTTAATGATTGAATGCAATTGTATCTTTGTTACGACTTATGTAAACCTTTAGGGGAAGGCTCAATTGTGTAGCATACACCCATGTATTATATGGATTACCCACTTGTTACTTTTAGAGACATTATTAGCATGTTGATCCCAGATGTCGAGCATAGGTATCACTTTGTTCTGTACATGTACTATACATGGTGTATAAATCTTCAACACTTATAAAAAAAATGAGATGTTTCTTGTGGAGTATGGTTTATAGAGAAAACATATAGAAGGGATCGAGAACTAAACTGCTGCAAAATAACACTCTGACAGGTGATGATATATTTGTGTTTTCACCTATATATCTATAGATGGAAATAGAAATTTTTGTACGTAGTAAATATGAAGCACGTGGAGTGGGGGCACCTACGTTCACGAGCATAAGCACGAAAGTGCGCGAGGAGATTTGATTATGGGGGCCACAAATCTATTTGTGGGAGAGGATCTGCAGGACACGCGATTTGATGTGATCCATTTAATTGCTATATATAGCGTGATTCTTTCTAGGGTTTCGTGTGCAAAAGGGGGAGAACTCTATTTTTGGTAGCGTACAGGTGTAGAAGAAAGAAAAAGCAGCTAAAGCAGTTCTCTTGGGGCTTCGCGCAGAGGAAAAAAAATAGCAGTGTTTTGTGCAGCCATCTTTTGAGTTTTGAGCACCCTTTTGAGAGAGATTTGAGAGTTAGTTTGAGGGTTTAGTTTGTGTGATTGTAAACCCATTTGTATTCTCTTTCTCTAATAGTAGATCTCTCCCTCCTTGCCCCTTGAACGTAGGCAATTTGTCGAACCACGTAAAACTTGTGTGATTTGTTGTTTGTGGCCATTGTAATAGTTTATTAGGTTCCCTCGACAGGTCAGTC